TTTCTTCCTGTTTTTCTAAAGTGAAAAGATGCAATAAGTCTTCTCCATTGGTGATAATATTGTTTTTTCTCTAACTGCTATTGAATGAGTTCGGTCACAAATCACAAAGACCATTAAGGCCTCAAAATTATAGAAGACTTTGACATATCACTTTAAAACTATTACAGGTTTTATATGCTTTCATAACTAGTTTAGTAACTAGTTTCTTAGAAAAATTGAAAAATCGGGTTCAAGTTTAAGTTTTTAAGATTTTGAACACAACTACGGTGGACGCCAACGTCAACGATGGGAACATCATCGCGCGCTTCAGGACAAAATCTTGCTTATTTAGTCTTTCAAGGTGAATTTTACAAAGAAGTGATACATATCTCAAAATTGCAGCTTAATAGGTGGAACGGATAAAAACTGTCCCACTCATATAAGTTTTTATTAGTGCTGTTAAGTCGGTCTGTAGAAAAATTTAACAGATTGCAATTAACAATGAAGACGATCATGTTCTCATCGGTACTAAATGAACGGTGACGTACAAATGTATGAGTCACTTTATGATAACACTCTACCAAAGCTTAAGATGACAGAATATGATACCACGTAATGCAATACAAACTTATCACGAGGCTCCAACCCCAGAATTGATATGATTGCGAACGTTCTACGTAGAAGTTCTTAGTTTTAAGCAGTTATTTTTAATTTTGCTTTCATTTTAGTGTGTTAACTGAGTAGCTAACTTGTAATCTTATAACTGACAAGTTCCCACATTTTTATGTGTTTTCCCCTCTTTCTCAGGACGTCGTCTTATTTTTTACTTTTTTTCTTTCATTCCTTGCTTGAAAACGTCTTTTCTTAATAGTTTCCGATAATGACTACATTGATGTTTTATTGTTTCATCGATCGTTGGGAGCTTCAGGAAGAAGTCTGACACCCATTTACCTATTCCGAGGGGTACGACGATTGCTGGTTCTGATGTGAGCTAAAAACAGAGTGCGTATTAAAGAGCATCACTACTTGTGGGCTACTCATAACACCCAAAATTCCTACTCTACTAAAATTTGGAGTGACTTCTTCCATTCAAAAAAGGCTTCGAAACCATAAAAGAAAGAGGGTGATGGCTTTGACGATTCATTTACGCATGCACCATTCCACGTCATTAGTAACGTCTTAAAGATGATTCAATGCACATGTGGTTCATCAGTAGTTTTCTGCCACCAGAGAAGTGCGGGCACTACTTCGCCCACTTCGAAGGGATGGCTTGTTTAGTTTTGGCATGAGATCAAAACATCGACCAACATGTGCATTGCTAGGCATTTCTAATCACTGCGCAACACTTAAACTGCAACAACATTGACCTGATGACTAAAAGTAGTAACAAAGCAGTGAATGTCCTGTAGTCAAATCTGTGCTTGCCAAACGTCATAAATCACAAAGGAACATGCAGTAAAGCTGCTACGGTCACTATGATAAGCGTTGCATGACATAGATACGGCAGATAAGATTCGAAGCGCAAAACGTTCGCCCACTACTATGTTAATTATCGGTAAGTACATCTGTTGAAATTGTTTGATATGAGACGTATTCTCTTTCGACATCGTTTGATATGAGACGTTTTCATATCAGTAAACGTTCCATAGACTTATTCTTTGCTGAACTTTCGCACCGATGTTCAAAAATCGTAAAACTTATTAAATTTTCAAATATAGTACTAACTTCAGTGAATCTGTGAATGAATTAGGAAATTTACGAGAACAATCATCAATGAAGATGCATGTACTTTTTCTGTTGTTCATTGTTTCGAACGCTGCAAATGTTCTTTTCAATGGTATGCACTCATCTGAGAGTCATGTTAGAAGCATGATCCCGTTGGCGACGAGGTTAGTATTTAATGACATCTATCAACTGAAGTCAGAAATCAAAGGCATTCTCTTCCAAACTTCTTTGTAGATTTAATATACCTTGATGCTTTTTCTCACCGTTTACACAGATCTCATTTTATCAGACTTTCTCAATCGATGCATAAGATCCATGTTTTGGAGACGAACACAAAACCGACACACTACAAATATCCAGCTAATATGACTTTTACCCACATCGAATTGAGGAGTAAGGCATTTAACATACGTCACTTAGAGCAGAAAACTGTTTGTAAAAAATTGTGATCCAAGGTTAAAATGCTGCAAAAATGTTCGAAAATGAAATAAGCACTCATTTCTAGAAGATCCAAACTATATGGACTACATCAGAGAAATATGGACTAGAATATTTAGTCCATTAGAATTTCCACGTATTTGGGAAACAGGAGATAAAGCATTTGTGGAGATGCTACAGTATCATCCAGATAAGGTGATTTGTCTCGCATCACCTTGCAATCGACTCGGTTCTGATGTTTCGAAAAATATAAAGACTTAATGTTCTTATAAAACAATATTTAGATAAATGTTTTACTCAACCAGTCATGGGATTTGGTGTTTGCTGATGAGCTATTTGCGGTTTCATCATACGCACTTGCCATAAGAGCACAACAAAGTGGAAGAGCATTCATTACTATGAGTACCTGTATTCCTACAAACCTCATCAAATACCATCTTTCACTTGGTAGGTCGAGCTCCTTATGGAAAACCGGTTTTTTGCAAAAAAAAAAGAATTTATTTCACGTTCACTTTACTTCGCGCGACCAGTTCTCACGTACACTGTCCCGATACCTCCACTTTTTGCACACGTTTCGCTTCCTCGTTTCCATCAACAACGAAGCTCTTTGAGCTTTCCCCGTGTGGGTTCGGCTGCTGCTTGAGGATTTTCGTTTTCTTAAAATACCGCCGGGTCGACTCTCTCTGGTGAGCTGAGATAGCCGAGCAAGAGCGGCAGGTGTTTGCAGTGGGGATCGAACTCGGTATTACTTTTTTCGGGTGCTAACGTGTTCATCACCACACTGCGCAGGTCCTTCGCTTCTTCTTTCTCTCAGCCGAGTTTTAACCTATAGGTAATATCAGCAATCACTCGAGTTTTGAAAATATCTCAAAATCATTGTAGTTGAATGTAACATCATATCCTGCCATGAAAAAAGAAAAGGCAGTAAGTAAAAAGTGATGTTGTAATTTATACGATAGCATCAGCTTGACTAAGTTCCATGTCGATTTATGCTTTCCAGATCAATTCCATTGACCGGAGATTGATGATATCACCCATAAAACATGACTGAGAGAAAGGCGAAACGAAGGACCCCACATGGTGTGGTGGTGAACACGCTAAGCACCAGAAAGGGTAATAACGGTTTCTAACACTATCACCTCAGACACCCATGGTTCGGAGTTTTGCAAATATCTCAACACTATTATAGGCTTATTATTATTAATAATTAAATAATATGTATTTCAATGTAGCGCATTATTAAATAATTGGACTAATTGTTAATTAGCAGAAGATTATGGAAAACTAAAGAGCTACAGATGTCGTTTCGTGCTGTTCATTCACACTAATAACTTAGGAAATAGCACATTGAAATATAAGCGCGTAACTTGCGAATGGAAAAGTTCTGAAAATCTAAATTGAGGGTCTACACGGCATATACTTCTTCGCATGAAGTTTTCCATGGCGGATTTCAAAGTTCTGTAGGTTTCGTTGTCTTTTATCAGTATAATACACTACATCAAGACGGGATAGCGGTAATATAACCACCTGCATCATCTCCAGTCTCCTCACGACTCGTTGAGGGACCTAAGAGAGAATAGCACCATTTTTCCCCGTTCAGCACTGTTGTCTCCGAAAGTATATGATGACAATCACATCTTCTGTGGCAATGCTCGGTTTTTTGATGTTCTATGTGGAAGAGGCATGGATGAATATTTCGCTGAGCTTACAAATGACACTGGGTTATTTTAGCTGTAATTCACGACGCAAATATTGAGCTTCTTCTATTTCGAAAGATTTTGAAGAGCTTCCTATTATACATCGTTGTTCAATACTCGGCATCACCCTTGAACTATAATGAGATATTTCGAAACTGACCTTCCCTAAACCTCGGTGTGACTAATCAATATGTATTCTTTCTTGATAAGCTTGCAAGAGGTTGATAAATATATTTATTTTCGGCTAACGTTTCGACGTCTTCGTCTTCCTCAGAGCCGGTGATCCGAGAAATATTACAACGCTTTGTGCTAGCTGATAATACACCGACCTCTGCACGATGTGCGCAATGATGTATGGCCGGAAGAAATACAAGTTGTTACCACCGGACATTGTCATTATATATCCACCATCAGCATCGTGTATAAAAGGGCATCACTGAGTGAGGATGCCTCATTCGAGAAGATGGCTCGCTGAGGAAGATCTGGCTCGACAGGAAGGCGAAGACGCAACGTCGAGGCGACCAACAAGCATGGACCATCGACTCGGATCACCGGCTCTGAGGAAGACGAAGACGTCGAAACGTTAGCCGAAAATAAATATATTTATCAACCTCGTGCAAGCTTATCAGGAAAGAATATNTATTTATTTTCGGCTAACGTTTCGACGTCTTCGTCTTCCTCAGAGCCGGTGATCCGAGTCGATGGTCCATGCTTGTTGGTCGCCTCGACGTTGCGTCTTCGCCTTCCTGTCGAGCCAGATCTTCCTCAGCGAGCCATCTTCTCGAATGAGGCATCCTCACTCAGTGATGCCCTTTTATACACGATGCTGATGGTGGATATATAATGACAATGTCCGGTGGTAACAACTTGTATTTCTTCCGGCCATACATCATTGCGCACATCGTGCAGAGGTCGGTGTATTATCAGCTAGCACAAAGCGTTGTAATATTTCTCGGATCACCGGCTCTGAGGAAGACGAAGACGTCGAAACGTTAGCCGAAAATAAATATATTTATCAACCTCGTGCAAGCTTATCAGGAAAGAATATATAATGAGATAGTAAACCATTTAGAGCCCGAATAGCGCTTAAACATATTCCTCAAATGGTTACCAAAGAAACTCCATTCCACTTTAGGCACGCCATTCTCTCTTCGTCCATCGATGTACCATAGAGTGGCAAAACCGTTTAAAATAGAACGTTTTGCCCATCGCTTCTATGCAGCCATACAAGAGAGCTGGAAAGCATTACGAACGCAGTACGTCACCGGACACATAGCAGTGCAGGTGTAGAAGTTGTTTAGCATATTTAACTTATAGAGAAAAATCCATTTAAACCGGCTGTAATTTCGTGTGTGACAAGACGGACACTCTTGAAGGGTTCACTCATCCTTATTGCATCAAACATCTGCTCAGTAGACTCTACTCGCTTAAGTGATACATATTTCATGTAAAACTACTTGCCTTACTACTTTTCTGGCAATTTGCTACATATGGATATCACCCAGTTCTGCCATGGGGTAAGATAACGAACAATCTTTCGAGTTCTTTCAAACTGACATGTAACTTTCTTTACTGAAATCGACCATAAACTGCTTCTGTTTTACTCCGTAAACTCTTACTTGGTGCCTTAGTTCAAATTTTCTCGTAGGGTGTAATCTACATTCAAGTACACTTACCCTGTTATGCATGCACGTGATTATGTGTGTATAGAAGCTATGCATCATGTGATGCATCAAAGATGACAGTCCAAACTTTCAATCAATCTTCTTTTCGGGGAAAGTTTACGACGAATTTTTCGCTCATGTTTAACCCTCTCCCGTAGTATAAAGGCTTCCGGCGAACTAGTACATAATCGTTCTCGTAAGATAGATCGATTACTACAGGAACTAAGCGTATCAAACGAAAATAATAGCAAGGTGCGCGTGAAGCCCTAACTCAAGTTTTATTTTTGCTCTCCTTCAACTGAATAACTACATGTAATTTAGGGATTGCGCAAGGTAGGAATTTTTGATTTTGACTTTTCTCAACTTGCAACACACTCGTCTTACTACTTTTTGGACGATGTGGATTCGCTGGTTTTTCCTTCTGCAGGTCAATATGGCTTTAAGCATTTCCAATAATAACACATAACAGAATAAAATTTATTATTTCAGTCAGCACTGGCTTGTTAGAAGTTGGATTTTATTGTCAGAAGATAGGGAAGTTACCTGTGGATTTCGTGAATTTTGTTGAAGATGCTTCATCGAAGGGAACAATTCTTGTGAGCTTTGGGTCTAATGCGGATTGGGATTACGCACCTGATGAATTATTAAGTTTAATAGTGGAAGCACTAAATCGTCTTTCACAGTACAGGTAAGTTCCTATGTTGATACATCATCAATGATCTTTCTTTCATCCACCACTCCAAATGCTCTTCAATGATCTAATCACGGAATTAATACATAAGCACTCTTTAATATATTAAAGACACAACAAATGAACCTAATCGTCGAGCAAGAAATGTTTTAAAGCTTCTCCAAGGAGACGTAATGCTGAAATGTGAAAGCACTGGTAACAAACGGTCGGTATTTGAGAAATTTTACAGGATTGTATTCGCATATAATGGAGACAAAAAACGCATACGGTCTATCGGTCAACATATAAAAATCACTACATGGGCACCACAGGTAGAGATACTACAGCATAATAAGACAGTGGTCTTCATTAGCCATGGAGGACAAAAAAGGCTAGTTTTAGCAGTTCACTGAAAGTTAGTTAGATAATTTCATTTCCGGTGGTTAATCCATATGGATTCCTCATCTGTTTGCGGTCATTTGCAAAAGCTACTGTATTTCATTTAAAAGAAAACTTCTCTCTTCAACTGCAACCGCAATTGATTTCAACGTTTCAGTGTAAAAGAGACAATTTGTGGAGGTGTTCCTGCTGTGTACATACCGCTATTCGCTGAACAAGCGCATAATGGAGAACTGGCCCGAAAAGCTGGCTTTGCTGAAACTCTCCACAAAAAACGTCTATCATCTGACTTATTAGAGAAAGTCGTGAAAAAAGTAGCAGGTATACAAAACATTAAATCCACTGAGAATTTTTTTTACATCATCGGACATCACACTGTGCTGATTGCAAAACCTCTTTCATTTCCTCACACCCACGACCTGCGGAGGTTTTGCAAGTTTTGCACGAGGGTTCGACTGCTAATTGAAAATTTTTGACATCTTTGTGAATACCTTTGAGTGCAGATAGTGTGAATTCTTACTGCAATTCTGGGTTAGCATAATAGTACGTTCCCAGGTCAGGTTCACCACAGTCACTGGCCAGCCTTTGTGGATTAGGGGAAGGCCAGGAATTACGAACTTTCACCAATTCTTTTTGTATTCACCACTAAGTTTTGTGAAAACATGCTTTATCTTGCTAAGTCACAAACGTTTGGCGGCGCGAACCTCCAAGATTTCCATAGATATGTATGAAACAATCAGTGATAATGGTTTTTTAGTGGACTGGAATAGGGGTCTATATATACACTTTCACAAAATCTGGAACCAAAAGAAAGTGTAAGAGGATACAACTGCTGGATTCACCAAAGTCTCTCAGTTCCAAAACATTCTTATGCTTTGGAACTGAGTTTTAATTTTCTGTCAACATTCGATAGTTATGCGTCATTTGACTTACTTAATATAAAGAATCCCTCTCTTTAATCAGGCTTCATAGTGGCTGAAGAGTTTCCGGGTGTTGAAGTTCGATGTAAAACGTAGTGTTCATCTCCAACGGAGTTATTAAAACTAGGAAACACTTCGACATTTCCATTCGAAAACTCAGCTATGAGGACACCTATACCCTGGAAGATCCTAACAAGAGCCCATTTCTATGCCTAGCTGATGAAATTAGGATTAGAGGCTTAACAAAAAAAAGCCCAGTGCTCTTCATGCGCTTTGAGAGTGCAACACTGCAATTTATCGGTTTTGATGAACGAGAGACTCGAAATGATATATCGCTGGTACCTATTTACTCTGTGATCAACGAGATCACATATGTTACAGGAAACCGTGTCATTCAAGTAATCCCAAAACGAAGGAAATCCGCCATTTTGAAATCAGTACTGTGTATACCACCATTTACTACATCACCCAACATGACACTTGTTACACTGCGCAGGTCTTAACACTTCTTGCATTCTAATCGTTTTTTTGCATCCATCATCCTCGAAAGTCTTCGGACTTCTAGCGTGTGTCTTCGCCTGCTAGTTCAGGATTTGCTTCTGCGAGAACGTCGTTGAATGCTGGTTAAGTTGATTCTCTATAAAGCCCTCATCTAGCCGTACTACAGTGTTCCTACGTGGATTGTTGAGAGTGAGATTGTTCCAGACAAACCTTTTACCAATACCAACTTTTTATTCACAGGAGCAAAGATAAATGTAGCCCCACGTCCGACTTTCTACTAACCTCGGCATTGTATGAATAATTCTTTCTACTTCTGTTCAGCAAACACGAGGTGTTACTTTATTTCTTTATTTACGTACAAGCTGACGTTTCGGCGGATTTCGCCTTCCTCAGAGCCTGAAAAGGTCAAGATGACTACAATCTACACGGGCAAACACCTCCATAACCAAACAGAGAAAATGCTGAACCAAAATTTCAATGACATTGAACGCAGAGTCTTTGCACACTCACCGCTTTCTATAAGTCTTCCACTAAATAAACAAAACAAAAAAAAAACAAAAAAAACAAAGCAAATGCTAAACAACGAAAAACGTTAATGTGTAATGTCAGTGTTAAATTGTTAATGCTAAGGTTAAACAACGAATGGGTTAAAGTTGCAAGAGCGGCTAGGTCAAAACCATCAGTTATCTCTCATCTCAAAGTTGACTTACCAACATGTCCCGTCCTGTACCTACTTATCAAAACCCATAAGTTAGTATCCAGCGATGATCTTGCGTCAACCGATCCATCGTTATTTAAGGTTAGACCTATCATTGGCTGCGGAAACGGGCCAACGGATAGGATAACATGGTTTCTAACCCTAATACTTAACCAGTTGTTGAAACACATTCCAGCTCATCTTACAAACACCCAGATGTTTCTGGATTGTCTGCGTACTGCACAGCCCAGCAGGGCGTAAGCGATGGAGTCCTTCGACGTTACCTCCCTTTGTACAAACGTGTCGAATGACTCTGCAATGCAAGCCAAATTCGAACTCCTTACACAACACGAAGAAGAAATGAACATGCATGGCTTCAACATAGAGCAGTTGATGGCACTCTTAAAAGAATGCTTGAGCTGCTCAACCTTCAGATGTTCCGGAAAGTACTACGCCCAAAGAAGATGGTTGGCAATGAGACAGCGACAGGCACCAAGCCTTGCCATTGCGTTTATGCCCGAGGTAGAAGCACCAGTAATCAACCTCGGGCCACTACTCTACTGTAGATATATAGATAACTACTTTGTCATTTGTTCAACACAAAAGGAAATGGATAAATGTTACGAGTTGTTGAACGAACAGTCAGAGCATATCAAGTTCAACCGAGAGTTAAACTGAAAGGAAACTGGCTTCCATTTCTGAACGTCTAAATTAACCTGTCAGAAAACGGCTGCATTACGAAGTAGTACCGAAAGCCAAGTAGTAAAAACATCTTGGTTCATCTTGGTACCTCTCCTCTCACCACTCTCACATGAAAAGGGTGCTTGTGAGAAACATGTTTCGAACAGCTACCAGCGTGCGCACAGGAAGTCAGCAGAGAGAGGAGTCCCGGAACTTGGCACGGCAAATAGCCATTTTTAATGGATACGAAACTGTAGCTCGAGATAGGTGTAGAGGCAACCACAGGTACCCCAACGAGAACTCCAGCGACAATAAAGTCCCATTTATGCTGCGCTTTATTTCAAATGATGTAAGTGCAGTTATAAAACGTTGCTTAATAAGGGCCCGGTCTAGAGAATACCGTAAGAGTGATAGAAATACCATCGGACTCTCTGAGACACCAGCTAGTTCGCACCAGCGTATATGACCGTCTGTGCATAACGAAAAACTGCATAATTTGCCTTGACGGTAGAGACAGTGATTTCATGAGTTCAGGTACAGTCTATCTGATCTCTTGTAAAGCGTGCGGGGACGAATACATTGGCGAAACGGGTAGACCATTCTGCGTACGTATAAAAGAACACCTAGTTGGCAAACGTAAGCCAAATACTCCACTAGGCACGCATAGGGCGCAGAGACATAACGGAGAAGATTTTGGAGTAAGGGGTACGATCCCCGCGCAAGAATCAAGAACACAAGCGCGCAAAACTCTAGAGGCATTCTGGATTAATTCCAAGAATCCGAAAATGAACCGTAAGGAGGAATGCCTCATTGTCACGCGTGGTATTGGGCAGTGTATGAACCTGTTATTCTGATGAAATGGGCACATTACGATTCCATGTGAACTCCGTGCGGTTGGTCTCCACGTGACATATTTAGTGGAAGACTCATAGAAAGCGGTGAGTGTTGAAAGCTGTGTTCAATGTGATTAAAATTTTGGTTCAGCTTTTTCTCTGTTTGGTTATGGAGATGTTTGGCCGTGTAGATTGCAGTCAACTTAACCTTTCCAGGCTCTGAGGAAGGCGAAATCCGCCGAAATGTCAGCTTGTACGTAAATAAAGAAATAAAATTACACCTCGTGTTTACTGAACAGAAGCAGAAAAAATAAATGTAGCCGTTTGTCCATCTTCGACACCGTGAAGTGTCGGTGTCATAATAGACATCATTTTCATGTTGTGATCAATCGTCATCGGTCTCATTATCCAGTTCATTTCTGAAAGATTGGAAATAAAAATAGTAGAAAGCGTGTTTGAGGAATATGCAAGATAGGGTCGAACATATCTAGGTTGCGAAATTCTCTGATTAGCAACTTTACAACATGTGGACAAGTGTGCATCACACGGAATTGAGAGTGCCGCCTATGACGTTTTCACCAAACGAAGTCACCTAATGCGCTGATTTGTTGATAAGCGCACACCACGTTCGCAATAAATCAGTTATTCTTTGATATGTCTGTCTTTGCAAATGCATGAACTCAGACCTGGAAAAAGGAACAGAGTAATCTAACCTCACTTGGAATTACCTTTCCAAACAGGACGATTCATAATCACATGTGAACGGGGAAACGGTGGACTATTGACACAAATCACAACGATTTTGAAGACACCGATATCACCGAAATATGACAAAAACACTCCAGCATGTTCTACTATATTAAACTAGTGCTCTTTGGAACTTTTTCGACAATATTTTTCACATAGGAAGGACTAAGGTGGAGATTTCTACATGCAATGCACGCACACTTTCATCTGAGTGCTCGATAGAATACTTGATCATGCGAATGCGGTGCGACATTATTGTTCTGGCTAGGACGAGAAGACGGCGCTACCCATTCAACGCCGTTTTGACACTGGTGTACGCTGTTCCTCGGGACTTGCGATAGTATAGGAGTCGCCGACATCGGCATTCTTGTCTACACGAGTGTAGCTATTAAAATCGATTCATTGCAACAACTAGCACACAAATTGGACGCCTTAGACTGAAGGGAAGTGGACCACTAGCAGCTTTGACCATCTTCGGAGACTGCGCATCGACATTAAACTATGACGAAGACGAAGTTCGAGCGTTCAGTGTTAATTTGGAGAAGTTCCACAGTGAACGCTATACATTCTTAAAGATCGTTACTAAAGAATTTAATGCCAAGATTGGTTCCAAAAGAACGTCTGAAAAACGTCACACTGGAGCCCATGGATTAGAGTCAAACGAGAAGGGTTAGCTGCTCGCTGAGTTTATCACGATCATTCATGGCAACTCGAAATTTTAAAAGAGCAACTCTCAACGGTGGACGTGGGGGTCTCCCAATGGAGAGTACCATAACGCGGTTGACCCCATTATAGTAGTTCGAAGGCTTTGCTTAACCAATGCCACTGTTGTTCCAAAATTCTGCACCATCGTTTTCTTCGTGCAAGATTTCATTCTCCACGGAAAGGAAAGAAATCCGCTAAATTGAAAAAAACTTAGTCTTAAAACTAAAATGAACTGGGTTCAGTTCATAAGCCACCCATTGGGAAAATGTCGCTCTTAATAACATCGACGAGGAATACCACAGGTTCATTCAGCTTTTTTACGTTAGTGCTATGAAAGCTGAGAGTTGGAAGGTCATCAGGAGACGCGTGTCTCCAGAAATATTCGAGCTGACATGCCAGCGTGGAATCGCTCGAGTTGCAGACTAATGCCAGCTTAGTTCCGAACTTGCAAAACAACGCAGACAGCGTGGACGGCATCTTCTCTTCTGAGGCAATTCTATGGCTTTGGACCTTATGCTTTTCCTTGCATGATCTAGTTCCCCGTGGAGGATTCAGGAGTAAGTTAGCGTGTATTGTGGGCGGAGATTGTCACCCTAGTCTTTCGAGATTTGGGCAACTCAGAATGGCACTAAGGTCTTTCTTTTTCCTATTCACCCTACTCAATGCTGCCCTGTCGGTTACTCTTTCGGGTTAAGGTGAATGAGTAGCACTTATTGTACTATGTTTAACGTTTCACACTCACTTATAACTTGTTGAAGCTAGAAGTGGGACTAGTTATACTCATGTGTACCAGTTTTTTTGTACCAGTTTTTCCGAGTGTAGATAAGAACCGTAGAAGGCCGTCGAAGCGTCATCAATTACAAGCCAAAGTTGCT